TTTTTTTTTTTTTTTTTTTTTTGCCAGTTCTAATATTCTATTTAACAACAATCAGTCAAACTGCATCGACAAAAGAAATAAAAAAGAGTGAAAAAGGAAAAAAGTGAAAGAAAAAATTGAAGCATAAAATAAGATTTTTCCTGTCATGTTACATTTCGGGTTTATTTTGTTCCCATTTAGCACTTCCATTAAAAAAAACTAACAAAAACTTTATTTCCCTTTCTTTTTTTTCAAAATTTTAATAACATTTTTTTTTATATTTTATGCAGTTATTTTTGTGCAATTTTTGATAAATTATAAAGCTTTTTAAAATTTGCTTTAAAACGGAAAACTGAACAAAAATATAACGGCGGTAACCATTGGCGCGTAAACACTAAACACTATTCCCATTTTTTCATTTCTGATAGTTCAAAGCCTTAAAAGCTGCTTTTCGCAGTGGCTTCATAAATTGTTGAAAAAATTGTTTGCTGTTCACTAAAAAATTTTGGAAAATTTAACAACAACATACCTTTTTTCTCTTTTCTCTTTTTTTACTTTTTTTTTTTACTTTATTCTTTTACCTTTTTTTTTTTTCGTTGACAACGTTTCCAATGGCATAGCAATTTTCCTTATCCTCATTTCATACGTCACTATCATCTGATCTCTTATTTCTAGTCTATTAAGGCTTTTTGAACGTTAAATATTGACAAAAAAAAAAAAACCAATCATCCAACACTATAGGATTAGGCTTCTGTTTTGCTGCTGCTTCTGATAGCTGCTGCCGCTGCAGAGCTGTTTGGCTGAAAAGCGCAGTAGTGGCAAACCGCACTTATGGCCAAACGATTAAAGATTCTATTCTTATGGTACTGCTTAAAAACTGTTGTTGAAATGTCGTCCGGTTTCTTCTTTCTAACTATAAAAATTATGATTCTACTCTTTGAAAACTGCAGCAGCAGCGTCATCAACGACAACAGCAACAACAGTAGCAATCAAAAATGGTTTCTGAATTTGCATATTCATCTCTGTCTATCAAATGTTCGTTGCTTCTAAACTATGATTTTTGAAACATTGTGGAAAAACAGAGAAAGCTTTCCTGAAATCGGGTAGTGGAAAGGCAAGCGGAAAAAACAAATTTACTTCTTTGAAATCTAAAAAACAAACCTTTCATTTCATTGAGCTTTCCTCCAACAACTTGTTTCATAATAAAACCGGCCATCTTGATTAGGTAACCTTAAAGAAGTAAACAGTAACAAGAATAGAAGTAACAGTTTTATTTGTTGGTTTCATCAAATAATTTGCCGCGGATGTTTACGCTGATAACAACGCTAATGAATACCGGGAAAAAACAGAAACAAAAAAAAAAAAAAGAACACCAAAAAAGGAATTAATAGTTAACGGCAATGCTAAAACGAGACTACAACAGAAACAGAATCATAAACATCTGCTATGTTCCTGACACGTTTGTCACTAAGTCGTCAACCGACAATCGCTCAAATGCAATCTTAAGTATATCAAAATCGGCCAAAAAAAACTGTCAAAAATATACTGCACTTATAGTTTATAAAAAAAACATTTTTTTTTTTCCAATTATTATTGTAACAAATGTCTCCATTAATTTCAGAAAAAAAAAAGACCAAATCAAATAAAATCAAACAAAAAAATAGCAATGAATAATCAAAGTTCCTGTCATTGTTTCTTTTTTTTTTTACGCTTTACGCCAATATCGTACAAAGTCACCAAAATCAAAACTCTGATACTTCTAAAATTTTGCGCCAACGTTTCAGTCACTATGACTAAAACTGCCGGTTTTTTTTTTTTCGACAATTGTCAACACACATCAGTAACAATGATACACACAGCTGTTGTTAGATCGGCGACTTTTACTCTTATATTTTATAACTGATAATACAATACATATCAACGATAGATACTTCAATGGTTATCCCTCCCCTTTTCAAAAAAGCGTTAATTAAATTGTGGAAAAAAAATAGTTGTTGTACACATAAACAAAGTTTATCTGCGCTAACGTACTTTTATTAATTTTTTTTTTTTTTTTTTGGTAAATAAAGCATTTCAACAAAAAACGTATGAGAAAACACAAGGGATAAAAAAAAAAA